GTTCTTAAGAAAAATAATGATTTAGTTTATAGCTGATTAAAATCAAGTTGCAATTTGTAGATCAGCAGAAAGAGTTGGTATTTATTGTTATTTTAATAATTAGAAATGCAATGAATCTTGCACATAATCTAATAGACAATAATACTATTGAATTAAAACCAGAATATCATTTTAATGAAGTTAAAAAACAATATCAAGAATTAGCAACTATAGTAAAATATTCAAATAACTATGAAGTTATTTCAATTGATGAATACTTATCATTAAATTGTAATCAAAGATATAAATTTATTATCAATTTAGCTTTAGATTCTACTATAATATTATATAGATATTATCATGAAAACTATCTTGAAACTTTAAACTTTATATAGCAAATAGATCTGAAAATTTGCAGACATAAGCAATTATTAGTATTCAAAATAAGTTACCAAAATATTTTACTAGAGCGATGTATAAAAATATATTTGCAAAGATATAATTTATAAATTAAGTTATATAAATTTATAGTTTATAATATATATATTAATTTTTTAATTATTTCAAATAGTATTCCTTGTTAAGTAAAATTACACCTCATGTTTTATCATTATTGCAACATGATTTAACAAGAGATATTAGTGCACCAGAAACTTCTCAATTTAGAGAACTAGATGAACGTCTTAGATTAATACTTGAAATTGGAGATCCAGATATGTTAGTTGATTTAAAAGTTAATAATGATTTTAAAAGTACTAAGTTTAATATATTTTAGGATGAATTAAAATTATATTTTGAATGGTTTAGGTCACAGATAAACTAGTCTGAGTCTTTTTTCTTGCTATCGTATGATATGAAGTTTAAGTTGTAATTCTTTTCTATATAAAAGATTTTAATTAAATTTCAATAAAGACAGAGACATAGTCTTACCATTAATATTCAAAAAAAAAATATATATTTTGAAGAGGTAATATTAAAAAATTATTATTAATTATTATTAAATAAATTTAGTTAAAATTAATTTAGAAAATTGCTATTTTTATACTATTTTTGCTAATGCTACCTTCTAAAATTTAAAAATTGCTCTAAAAGAGATATTGTTATTAAGAAAACCTTCTTTTTGGTCTTAATAAAAATTGTTTATCAGACTTTTTTAGTTCTAATAATTATAAAATTATAAAAGTTGGACTAATAGTTTTTATTTAAAAGTAAATAAAAATTAATTAACTTCAGATATAAATATCTTAGGAACTACTGGTCTGAGTATAATAGTTTTACTACTATTAGAACCAGAAAGGTCTGATAAACAACTTTTATTAAGATCACAAGAAAGGTTTACTTAATAAGAATATCTATTTCAGAGCACTTTTTTAAATTTTAGGGATGGCATTAGCAAAAATAGGAGTGAAAATAGCAATTTTCTTAATTTATTAAATACTATAATATATAATAAATCTGATTAAAATAAAATTTAGAAGGTTTAGTTAATTTTTAAAATTTATTAATATTTGTTTGATATAAATTAAAAACTAAAAATATATCTGATATACAGTCAAACCCCTCTATAATCATCTCCTTTATAGTCACAAAATTAATATATTTCAAATTTATTTTTATCAATTATTTATAAATATATAAAAAAATATTTTTATATTAGTCACATCTCTCTACAATCACAATTTTTTGTATCTTAAAAGTGTGACTATAGAGGTATTTGACTATATATAATCTTATATTTTTAGTAACTTATTTATTTTATATATACAAACTTTTTATTTTAATCTGATTTTATTTAATTTACTATAATAAAAATTAATTTACTAAATTTATTTTACTATATATAAGTTGAAGTTTTTAATAAATTTATTTATAATAGAATTCTCCAGCAGTTCAAGATCATAGACATGGATCAATTCTTTATATACCTTCATTTATTTCTGTACATAATCTTAGAGATCAAATTATTACCTGAATTTTTTTTATAATTCGGCAATCCTGCCTCTGTTTATTTGAGATTAAGCTATTCAAGAATTATACATTTCTATCTGT